CTCTACCCCTGCCTCGACTGCAACCCCTCGCTGTAGATTCCTCAACTGGAGCATTGACGGGAACTACGGGTCTGACGACGTTGTATCTAGTGTTAACCATCTACGGACAGAAGAGTGAAGGAGGTTAAATGCAAATTTGAATCGACAGATACCAATTGGAATTAAGTTATAGCACGAAATGAGACAAGAGAAAATAGAGAGATTTCCTAAAGTCCTATAGCCTCTCAAAAAAAAAGTAAAGGCGTCCCCGTACCGTTCAGCGAACCTAGGCTCTGATACCAACTTTGTCACGACCTAGACCGTCGTCATTGGCACCCACACTAACTTTCTGGTAGGAGAACTAGTACTACAACCCAAACCAAACAACTAAACCAAAACTAAGACATTTAAGTTACGGAAGCAAGTTAAATACTAAGGAAATAAATAGAGTTCCCATTAACTCTAACAAAAGTCTAACAGTAATATACTAACAATGCAGAAGTAATGCCTAGAACCTGAAACTCAATGTACCAAAACATCTAACAATGAACCAAGTCTAACCAAGAAGGGATACAACCCCAACTAATGTACTAATAACTAATAGAACTATCTAAGTTCGAAATGTGAACATAGACGAAAGGAGAATTCATGGCAGCCCGAAAGAATTGACTCACCCTTGAATTCGAACGACGATCACTGATCTCCTAAGCGAGGTATGTCAGTAGTCATTTGAAGATGCCCTGTACACAACAAAAATAAGAGCAAGTGCAGTATTAGTACATAACCACAGTATGCTAGTGGAATCACGTGGCTATCCCACTAAGTGCAACATACATTAGTCAATACAACAATATAATCACATGCACATATCGAACATATACATTATTATTAACATTTACTAATAACAAACAACTTCACATTTCTCAAGATACATAATTATATCAAATCATTGGTCCTCTCATGGAACCCAAACTCAAACAGTTAGCATACTGAAACGTGGTACCCCATCTAATGATTAAGCCAAAACGTGGCAACCGATCCCATAAATATGTCGAAACGTGGCAACCAATCCAAGTTAGTTATGCCGGAACGTGGCAATCGATCCATTCAACACACCACAATCACAATCACAAGTATATCTTCAAGATCATACAATTAAGTCATGATTTCATGGTAACCATCATTCATCTATCTCATTTACAACAAGTGTGATCAATAATTCAACATTCATATACATACATATATCATAATGAAGCAAGAACAAACATATATCACACAATCATAGAATCACAACCATCATCTACCTCGAAACAAGCTTGAAACCCTAAGAAACTTGATTTTTCCCTTTCCAGATTTGTTTCGCTTGTTCTTGGTCTACAAACAATCAAATATAATACGAAAATCAATAAACAATCACTAATTACCCGAATTACAAACAATTCTATGAACCCTAGATCATAGTCATGACCCCAAGTATCCAAAATAGGGTTGTTTCCATCATAGAATCTAGATCAAAACCCTCCCCCATCAATAATTACCCATTCTATGATGTTCTACGGATCGAAAAACATATTCGGGGAGTGAAAAACTTACATTTAGTATCAAGAATGGTGGAAAATTGTTAGGAGTCGCCTGGGGTTCATTCTTTAGCTCTAAAAATTGAAAAGTGTAAAATAAGGTCGTCTAGGGGTTTATTTACGACTTTAGGTCGCGTCTGGCCCGCCACAGCGACCCTCACCCCGCTACAGCGGCCCCGCCAGAGCAATAAATTCCAGCTACAAAGCGGCTTGAACGAAACAGTGAGCTATTTAAAGAATTACAAAATTCCCATTTCACAACACACTCTAACCAACGACACTCAAAAAATACCCTTCACGTTAAGATCGATTCCGGGAGTTATACTCGCCCGAATGCAATTCTGTAAAGTCGTACGGGTTCCTTAACGACTTATCTAACTACTCATGTAATCAAAATCATAAATGAGTCACCCGATTGTTACCAGATTTCCATACACCTCAATGACTCCGATTTCGTCCAAATCTGGACTAGGTTGGGAAAATCCAAATACGACGAAAAAGTTTTCCGACCTAAAATTTTTCCCTGTTGGCATTTCTATAACGACGGAAACAGGTCGTTACACTTTTGGCGTTTCAATTAATTTTTGTTTTGTTTTTTTTTCCTTTAAGCTTTCAAAAATTTTAAGTGTGTTACATTGAAAATTCCTAAAAAATTAGTACTGTAAATTTTTTATATAATTAAAATAAATGTGCATATTAAAAATTAAAACTAGTAGTATTATATATTTTGTACCTATAACTTTCAAAATTTAATTGTTCATATTAAGAATCTAAAAGTCAAACCGATCAAATTTATATTTAATATGCATTTTTTCGTAATCGTGCACCCATCTTGTCGAAATCCTGGATATGCCTTTGAGGGCTGGGCTCATATGTTTTAGAATGGTGCAAGCAGGGTGCATCTACCATATCTAGCATGAAAGGAATATCAGGTTATAGCAACAAAAGAATTTTATAAGGGTTATGAAACTAAAGCTTGGAGGACAAGTAGAGAAGTTGAATTTTATTATCTTGCATAATGCTTAATTCGGTTCCATGAAAATGTTATCACACTTGGGTAATTGGTACTGTAAATATTTACTTTGATAAAAAAAAAAGAGTTAGTTATCCAGAAAAAGAGGTGAAAGAGTTTGATTTCTAAATACATAAGATAACCAAAACTAATTCATATTACAGGGATGTATATCATAATTAACTCTCCAATTCAATATTGATCATTGTTTCTTCATAATTAGTATTAATATCATTATATTATATCGTTCAGTAGAAAAAGAATTGGTGTTTGGTATGAAGGAGAATGTTTACTATGAAAAATATTTTCCATGAAAATGTTTTCTTGAAAAATAAGTTGGTTTCTTGAATGTTTGGTTGACGAGTGAAAAATATTTTATAGTGTTTAATTAGTGAATGACAAATATTTTCTAGAAAATATATTATTTTTTTGGCTAAAGTGTAAAATAATAATAATACGTTTTTGGAAAATAGTTTATGAACCAAAAATCAACCTCAATAATTGATTTAGCACCCAACCAAACACTTGAATTGGGACACGATTCAGATGACCAATTCGAGACTCAATCCTGGACTTCACATCGAATCCCGACCTGAGATCCGATATTCGGACTAGGACATAGCCTTGACCCTAACACCCGAACCAGGACACAACCTTAACGATCGATCAAGGATCTGACCCCGATGACTAATCCAAAACTCGATCTCGACACCCGACTTAGAACTTGAATTTCGAAAATGACTCGAAACTCATCCTCCACTTCCGATCCAGGATTTGACTTTCTAACCAAAACACGATCCGACTTCTAAATAGAGACTTGACCCCGACCCTTGACCTCGATGATTTAACCGATAGTAGGACTTGACGTTGACACCCTATGTGAATAGGGATGACAATGGGGCGGGGTGGGTTTAACGCTATGTAGAGCGGGGCGGGTTTAAGGTTGTGTGGGGCGTGTTGGATGCACGACGGGTTGAAGTGGCTTTTTAAAAATATTAATGTGGGTTGCGGGTAAATGTGATTTTATGTGGGTTCAAACTTAATTTTAACTTTTTACATGTTATAAGAGTGATAGAACATTATTTATTAAGATAATTTTATTAAAACTACTAAAATATTCAAGATAAAAAATGAAAATGGTTCAATAAAACACAATACAATTTCCTTACATGTTTCCAATTAACCTCTAAAAAATAAAATTTTAATCACTATCCTATTAAATTAATACAACTTAATGAAAAAATGAATTTATTTTTATGAATTTTATTTTTAGTATCAAACGTAACTAGAAAAAGAAAATATTAAAAAAATTATGCGGGGCGGGTTCATGCAGGGCGGGTCTATGCGGGGTGGGGTGGAGTGGAGGTTGAAAATGAAAAGAGTTGTTATGCGGGGTGGGGCGGGGCGAATTAAAAATTTTGCGGGTTAAGCTCAACCCGCATCACCCCCGCCCTACACCGCCCCATTGCCATCCCTATATGCGAAAATCAACTTTGAACCGAGACCTAACCTTGACAATGACCTGAGACTCGACCCCAACACCCGACCCGATATCCAACCCCGACTCCCATTTAGAACCCAACTTCCAAACCGGGACTCGACTCCGACCCCTGACCCCCAACCCCAATGACTTATTTGAGACCTAATCCCTACATCAGACCCAAAACTCAAATTTCAAACCGAGACCCAACTCTATTATCCGACAAACGATCCGACCCTAACTCCTAATCTATGACCCAACTTCTGAATTTAAATCTGACCCTGACACCCGACCTTAACGACCTATCCGAATCTGAATCCAACACTTGATTTGGGATTCGACCTTAACGACCTATCCGAATCTGAATCCAACACTTGATTTGGAACTCGACCTCGACTTTCAACTTAAAATCCAACTCCGACACCCAACACAAAATCCCACCCCGACACCTAACTCAGGACTTGAGCCCGACATTTGATTTGAAATTTAACCTCGAATCCTGATCCATGATCTGACACCGAAATCGGGTCCCATCCTACACAAAATTTGGAAGTTGTGTCTCGCATTGAGGTCGGGAGTCGAGTCCCAAATTGAGAATCAAGAATCGGATCTTGTATTAGTATCGGGAATTGGTACTCGACACTTGAGTTAGGATGAAAAGCCGAGATGTGAGGTTTTAAAAGAGTTTTAAAAAATATTTTCCTTAATTTTTGGAGACAAGTCATTTTCCCTTAAATTTGAGAAAAATAAGTTGATTTGTAAAATATTTTCCAAAACATGAGAAAATTGGAATATTCCTTCCTACTCAATCTTCTAATAGCTTTTCATGAGATTGCAACTCCCTAGATATTTTGATCCAAAAAAAACTACAAAGTGAAAGTGCTTCTCCCTCCACTTTTTTTATATCATTGATCTACCAAAATGAGCACCAAACATAAAAAAATATGTTCTCCCAGAATTCTCACTATCGCATACAAGGATAAATGAAACAATTATAAACTTGTATCCAGGAAGAGTTAAAACAGCAAACAAATATCCTACGCTCATTCGCAACTGTAGGCAAGCAAATGGTTAGAGGCATGTGTAGAGAACTATCATTAATTTCATTAAACTCTACTGGGGGCATAAAATACCAGCTTCTTTCACTAGCTTCTCACTCAAAGCTGAAAGTTGTGCCATCTCTGAATAAACTTCAGCAAGACACTCAAAACTGCTAGAGACATTTGCTGCAGTTTCTGGGATGTCAACCAACAAAAGGCTGCTATCATAGTCAGCCTCAATGGTCAAACTAGCTTTATTCAAAAGGTCACGGCTGAGTTCAGCGAGTTTCTGGAGAGCACTGGTTGCAGCTTCAACTTCCAAAGCTCCTTCGAATTGGAGCTTTTCAACTGCCAGATCTCCAGTGCTCTTTTCACCTGTTCTTTCCTGTGCCAAAACATAAGATTGCCTTAGGCCATCCGCGTCCCGGGTCATATTCTTCATTTTATTTATTTCTTCCTCCCTATCATTTAATTTTTGACGAACTATTTTGAGCTCCTGCTCTTTGAGTTTAAGAGCCCTTTGTGCTGCAAGAGAATCCATTTCTCTACTCCTCAGGCTTTCTCTGGTTAACTCAAGTTCATTTTCAAGCTGGTTTTTGTGCCACATAAAAGCATCAGTTGGTTTCTCCACCAGCTGAGATGACCACATTTCATCTGTGTGACTGAGTGGGCTCAACACGTCATCCTTAACAGAAATAACCAATTTGTTAGTCAGGTCTACCATATGTTCCACAACGGTCTCAGCTTCTGAATATTTCATTTTTGTATCATTTAACTCAAGTTGCATTATCTGCATGGATTCCTCTTTTTCTTTCAACATACTTGTTGCCTGAATAAGTTGCTGTTCTTGACTGTTCATGTTCACCCTCAGCTCAGCTATTTCCTGATTTAGTTCATCTAATGTCTTTCTTGAATCCAGAAGTTCCTTATCTTTTTCTTCCAACATCAGCTGAAGAGAAGCGCACTGAGACTTCAAGTGCTGAATCTCTAATCTAGCATCTACTAGCTCTGACTCTTTAACCTGAAGAAGATTCTGTGTTTCTCCGAACTCTGCACTCTTACAGTCAAGCTCCTCCTGGAGAGCAGATTTTTCATTGATAGCTACATGCAGAGAAGATTTCTTAATATTATTCTCAGTCTGCAACTCCTCAACGAGCTCCTTTTCTATGGATAAATCCCTCTCAAGTTCTTTGTTTCGAGCTTCAGCAACCGTAAGTTGCACTTTCTCATTCTCTACCTCATTTTGAGCTTCTTTCAAACTTGTCATGTAAGACATAACACTTCTTCTCTGCTCTTCAAGTTCTTCGAGACAATCTTCTAATAGATTTTCCTGCTCTTCCATTTTCTTTCTAGAGGATGTCAAAGCTCTCTGAGATGAGACTAACTCAGACCTTACATTGGCAAGTAGCTTCTTGACTCTTCTGAAATCCTCTAGGGACCGATTTGCTTCTCCACCATATTTAGATGTTTCCTCTTCCAATTTCTTCATTTCTTGCTTTGCTATGAGCCAATCCATTGCCTGCTTCTCCAAATTGGATTTGGAAACTTTAAGTTTCTCTTCTTCGGTTTTCTGCATCGTCAAGAAGACTTGTAGCTCTTTCTCTTTCTCTTGAATTTCTCTTCGGAGATTTTGTAGTTCAACCTCCTGTCTTTGAACTACTTCATTTGCTGTATCGAGTAGTTCACCCTTGGTTCTGAGTTGTGATTCAGTATTAGCCGCTTCATCACTTTTATTCTTCAACTCAATCATCATTTTATTTATTTCATCTTCTTTTGAAACTAGGGCTGTTTGCGCAGCAGATATCTCCTGATCTATCTCGTTGAAACGAAACTTTAGATCTTCAATTTCTGCAGCTTGAGATACTAAGATCAGATTAGCCTGCCTTAGCTCATTTTCCAGTTTTTCCTGCCTAGAATTAGCAACTGCCATCTCCTCCACACGTTGCTCCAATTCTATCTTTGCACGGTTTAATTCATTGTACTCCATCAATACTTTTCTCTCTGTATCTTGAATATCTTCTTCCTTTTTCTTCAAGGCTGCAAGAGCATCCTGCAAATCCGACTCTAGCTTGCCAAGATTTAGTCCCAGCTCAGCAACCTGAGGAAAATAAATATTTCTGCCAATCTGTTGTTCTAGTTTCTGGGTCTGGGCAAACAACCTCTCAAGAAGAACCCTA